AATTGTCAACATTAACCAATTAATGCGCTTCATCCCATCTTACGACGATGGACATTGATGGTTTATATTAGAAAGTGATAATTGATTGTTTTTTTATAAACTTATGACACAATGCTGATAGCAGACACGGAAAGGGAATTACAAAATCAGATACAGAAGGTAGCGAATAAAAAAAAATGAAAGGGGGACTAAGCATAAACTACATGAAGACAGAATGCATGGTTATCAGCAAAAAGGGTGAGCCTGAAATGCAAATTACAGGTTAGGGATACTAAAATTAAGGAGGTACAAAAATTTAAATATCTGGGAAGTGTTATAACAGAAGACAGAAAGTGCGACACTGAGATCCGTAGACATATTGGGATTGCCAAAGATGCATTCCAAAAACTAAGCAGAGTATTAAGAGACAGAAAAATTTTGTTAGAGACAAAGAAAAGAGTACTAAACTGTTACATGATATCTGTCCTCCTGTATGGCAGCAAATGCTTGACAATCTCCTCAAAGATAAAGAAGAGACTTGAAGTAACAGAAATGTGGTTCTACAGAAAGACACTGAGGATACCATGGGCCGAACAAGTGAACAACGACGAGGTTTTAGAGAGAATGGAAACAAAGAGGAAACTTATACTTAACATAAGGAACAGACAGTTTTCCACTGAGAAGACACATCCTTGTTTTACAATCCTTTCTATTTTTGTATATCTGCTGGACTCATTTTTTGTCCGTGTGCAGATGGTTTGCTGCCAGTGTAGATTCTTAACTATTCTAATCTCTTTCTCGAATATGTCAAGGTTGGTTAGCAGCTCTAACAGATCTTTGTGGCGTACTTTGTCAAACGCCTTTGCATAGTATTTAAAACAGGGGCACACGACCAACTGCATTCGTATTGCTCTTTCTGATAACATTCTGAGCACAAATATTGCCTTCCTTGTTCCGGTGTCTTTGACGAACCGGCACAGTTCTTGTCCTATGTCTGACTTGATTCTGTTGCGCGCTCTAGTCATCAGAATTCGGGTGATGGGTTTTGTTATGTAGCTCATTAGGCTGTTTGTCCGGTGGAGTTCACATTCGTTTGCGTTTGGTTTCTTATACAGTGCTATGAAAATAGATCTGTTTAGATCTTCCGGTATATCACCACTGTTGTAGATTTCATTTATTATTTCTGTGACCTTGTCTCCGCCGAAATTGTCTCAAACTGTCAGAATCTCTACTACAATTCCGTCTGGCCTTGCCACTTTGTTTCTGTTCAATTTAGCCAGTGCAGTTTCCGCTTCGGTTTTTAATATTTTCGGTCCTTCTATTTTTTACAAGTGAAGGGCCATGATCACCTGAAGGGACACGGTACATAAAAAAAAGAAATATGCTCTTTTTTTTTTGGCGGAGCGGGGGAGAACGTATAATTAATACCAGTTTTTTTTTTTTGACACCTGATTTTATGGTGGTTCGTAATGGGTTAAATTTATTTGATACATAAAAATCTTTCGAAGTGAAAATTCTATGCTTCTGTAACAGTAAAGGGACATAATTTGGTAAACTTGTTACATTTTTCTTTTCTTTTTTTCTTTTCTTTTTTTCTCTTTTTTTTTTCTTTTCTTTTTTTTTTACTTTTTTTTCGTGGAGTCGGGTTCCAGTTTTGTCAGTGCGGAAGTACATTGGTTCATTGCAACACTATCGGAATAGGAATTTTAAAAAATCAACAAAATATCAAACAAAGAGAAAAAAATATACATTTGCTAGACTGGAGGCAATTTCAAATTTTCATGATGATACCAGATTCGATATAGACCGATTAAAACAAGAGAACGATATCATGGAAATAAATTATAAAGCAATTCTTTCTTATCAATTGGCAAAATAAAAGTTGTCTTGAATGGCGACTCTTCTCGATCTTTTTGCATAAATGGAGATGTGCCCCACGGCTATATCCTTGAACCTACGTTGTTTCTAATTTTCATAAACGACCTTTCTGATGTTATCAATTCTGAACGCGGTATCTATGCAGATAACACAACTAAATAATAAGTTTGACTGGTTCGATATAGTCAAATTAGTAGCTGATCTAGAAAATGATCTATTGTCTGTTGTTAAATGGGGCAAGGATTGGCTTGTTAATTTTAACACCTCAAAAATGAAACTGCTCTCTTTTACTCATCTGAGAAAATCCTATTTACCTTCCATTATCATGGCTGATGCTAACCTCCATGATGCCTTCTTGGACTAACGCTTTCGGCTGACATGAAGTAAAAAGAGTATATTGAATAAGTTGCTAAGTCTGCAGCTAAGAAAGTTGGTTCACTATGTCGAGCTAGAGAATTTTTCTCCCCAGAATCTATCTTACATATTTATAAGTCTTTCATTATTCCTTGCTTTGAATATTACTTTCATATTTGGTCTGGTGTTCCTGCCATATATTTAGAGATTCTTGAAAAAAATCCAAAGAAGAATCTGCAATGTTATTGATCCTGGCCTGGCACCTCGGCTACAGTTCACACTTAACATTTATAAATAACATCTTTCTACTAACTATAAAACATCAGGGATCGATTTTAACTGTATCGGTTTTATGAACTCGACACCCTTCTAAATAGATTTTTTTTCGATTCTGAAAAATATCGTGCTGTGATGAAGGTCTAATGAATATTAATCTATAAAAATTGGACCTCGATAAAGTTTAATTTTTATGAGTGGACCAGCCTATTTAAGTAGTGTCAATCTAATATACAACAAAACTTCAATGTCATATTGAATATATGGCATGATTTACTTTGTATGTATTTTTCTCTTTAATAAAGTTCCTTATTTTGATGTTACTTACTTATATCATCTACGTTCATGATTTATTCTGAAATATGGTTATTTTTCAGCGCGCCCACGTCGCTACCGAATGTGATACAAGGTCGAGGTCTAGGGTGGGTTTAACGGCAATGCCGTCGAAAAATTGGACAAGCCCCTCGACACTTCTCCATTTAGGGACACTTCAGGCGCCGGGCAATAAACCTAGCCCACTCCCGAAGGAAAGTTACTGCCTGGTGGAAGGCTCCCTGGGACTTGGGCTTAATATTTTTTAAACTTCCTCGATATGTACCAGGTAAGCATTATATTTACTCCGTCTCCCCACTAAGACGTGGTGTGATACAAGGTCGGGTTTAATGTGAGGAACCCTAGCGCGTACACTCGAGACAGGTCTAAAAATTGCCCAGACCCGCAAAAGTCGGTTGGCATCGATATGACTAGCGATCTCTAGTGCAATGATGGGGATACAGACGGCGGGCAGATGTTCTCCGGAACCGGGAACCTCTCAGTATTTTGATTTTCTCATTTGTTTCTCTGTCCGCCGACAAAGACACAACTGAGAGATGATAAATCCTACCCGGGATGTGATAGGTAAGTATTAATTCTTCTTAAATATTTAATCTTCCTTAAAGAAAATTACTTACATGTGCAACTTTACTTAAGTAGCACACAATGAACGAAGTCAGGAAAATTATGCGATCCAATAATCCAAATTTATTTATTGCATTTCTGAATAATGTTCAAACTGGTTACAGACAGGGATAGTATTAGTTAAAATAATCAATTCCTTTATCATTTTATCATATTCTATTATTGTCATGGGTCCTTACCTATAACTACAGAATGAACTCTTCCTAAAACTATGTATACTACGCCTCTCAAGAGAGAGGGACGAATCGAGTCGAGCTGATAGTAGTTCACTCCAAACCAGACTGACAGTCATACTAACACCTTCCACATCTTGTATTATTTATTTCGTGTAATATACCTTCGTTATTTCTACTCTTGTGTTCGTGTTGTTCTTCCTTGGTCCTAACCTGGACCATAACAATTATTTGTTTAGCATATTATTGTAGGATATTAAATAAAAACTACTTTTTATTGTCTTATTCTGTGTCTATCTATTTTATGCATATGTTAATGTACTGGGTGGTCCAAAAGTCTTGTTACCCCCTACCAAAAAGTAATGAGAACAATAGAACAAGTACATATTTCAGTTTATTCACTTTCAATGACGCTGTCACACATCCAGAAGGTCTGTATGAACACCATCATTCCCCTGGCAAAAAAAAAAAATGACGCGGCGCCATGTCCTGTGTTATATTTTACGAACCTGTGCTTTGTTGATTGCTGCAAATGCTCTCCGAATGGCGTCCTTCAACTGATAAGTATTCTGGTATCGTTCATGTGAAATGCTCTCCTTGATAATAGAGCGTCGAAATAGGAAATTATATTATATAGGGATGACAAGACTTTCGGACCATTCTGTAGAATAATTTTCCCGATTCCTAGATCACATACTTTAAGTGGTGTATTATTTCGGGTAGATCAGACTCGGAAGGTAAATCACATACTTAAGTAGCGCCGTTATTTTCATAAATCGTTCTTGCTATTAAGTCAGTAATTTATAAACCTGCATTTGTCTTTAAAAAAAAAAGAGAGAAATGACACTTAGAGGTGTGAGTCTGGATTAATCATCAATGCGCTCTGGATATTAATACAACTTTATATTTTTGCATGCAAAAGAAATCAAAATCGTTGACACGCTTTCTTGAGTCGGCCACTTGCAGTTTTAAGTTCAAAGTTCAAGAGAGAGAGAGTAAGGAGTGGCGAAACTAAATAGTGGTTTCTATCCTGCTTCCTATCTCTTTCAAATGCAGGCTTACGGCCATATCACGTTGAAACAACGATTCCCGTGTAAATGATTAACATTTAGATTACAGTTGGTTATAATGATAATAGAATGATTCCTTAATACTGGAGTGGTGAGTTGGTAAAAGGAGAGTTACACGATACTGCTGCATGCATTTACACAGCACCGTTGGTTATCGGCGGGGTCGGTATTTACCCATTACCTCCCCACAAGACAAGATGTAGCACAAGGCCGTTTTTTTACGTGGGGCATTCAGCTAGATCTGTGTGAAGAGGGTGGATAGAATTAAGTTTGGGAGCACGTACATTGCAGAGGATCTCTCTTGAACTGGCACTTATGGCCATATCACGTTGTAACACCGGCCCCCGTACGATCACCGAAGTTAAGCAACGTCGAGCCTGGTTAGTACCTAGATGGGTGACCGCTTGGGAATATAAGGTGCTGTAAGCTTGGATGTGCGAGTGGTATAATAACGATAGTGATAATGGCTCAGAATTATTAATCGGAGAGCCGAATTCCAATTCTAGTTGGATTCATTATATTCGGAAAGGTATGAATCCACCTCTCCTCCCCCCCAGCTATAGGTTAATTAGTAAGACCTGTATCACTAAATCATTATTATCTGAAATAAATGTTACAGTCTAGAAATATTGGTTTAAATAACCTAGAAATGGTCAATAAGTGAATCAGCTAATCAATCAATTCTTTGAGATGTGAAGTCTGATATTTTCCGTCTTCACACATAGATTATTACTACTGGGTACGAAAATGTCAGAATATAAAATATCATAGAATTCTTTAACAAGATTAGCATAATCTGCCACACGGTGAGAACCGAACTCATTACATTGTCAAATTAATTTACAAGACAAACTTGACAAGCATCGTGACGTGTGTCAACAATTTTCTTGCTTTACCAACATATTACACGTAACAAACGACAGAATGGCTCAGTACCTCTGCCTAAGACCAGAGTATCTGTACCCTTTGTTTGAGATTAGAGTGTAGTATCTGTGTGATCTGCCTTAGTTTTTATTGATATACGAGCATAGTGCCTGTCAAAAATAACTGGATTCATTATGTGTGGATCAGTACTTCTGCTTAAGATCTAAGTATCTGTGTCCTCTGTTTCAGATCAGAGTATAGTTTCTGTGCGATCTATGTTAGTCTTTACTGATATACGAGCATAGAACACGTCAAATTTGAGTGAATTCTTTATGCATGGTTCAGTAATTCTGTCTAAGATCAGAGTATCTGGGTCCTATACTTCAGATCAGTGTTTAGTATCTGTGCGACTTACCTTAGACTTTATTTATATATGAGAATAGTACCCGTAAAAAATTAGTAGTTAAATTAGTTTCAATTTTTAGGCGAATCTTGGAAATCTAGAGGGTTATCCCAAACTTTTGGCCTACATGTGTACAGCCATTTCCGAAATCACATTGGCGTCTGCGTTTTCTAGGCTGAAAGTGATTTTCTTGAATATAAGGACCAAGTTTCACTCATACAGCATCTTTCCCGGAACTTTTTTTTTTTTTTTTGTAGAACGAACTCCCGATATGATGCTTCCCTGAAAACTACAATCTACAGATTAGTGACATTAGAATATTGAAGCTGGCAGACACAAAAATATTTGCAGATGAATATAGACTGAGGGCCTTATCTATACTGGCAGATATTCTATCTAGCGAGCAGCAGTTCTGAGAAGAAGGGGAACGATTTTCAATCAAATTCTGTTGGACTAAAATGACCATTCTATCCAGAGTTTCCAGATTCTTCCCCAGAGCAGTTATTTTGTGAAAGACATTCCAGAGTGGATGCTTTCCTGGCAGCTACAATCTTGGTCTCTTTAAATCACTCAATAGAAGTATATACGTTCACCTGTCGTCAGGTTACACTCCTCCCAGATCTTTTGAACAGGAGTAGAGGTTTGTCTATTGTTTCTTGTTCAGGATAGGGCTTGCGGTTCCTTCTAAAGTTTTCTCATTCTCTTTCATTCCCAGTAGCCCTTGCGTTTAGTGGCTTTATCTCCTTGCTTTGAGTGAAATGATTAAAAGAAAGGCTCAACCAATGTATGTCTTAAACTTACTCATAATATATATTTCTTACTTCTCCCTCTTACAACAAACTCACTCAATAGCCCTATATCTTGAGTGGCTCTTGAGCCTTATATTGGATGAACTAACAGTTTGTTTTTTTTAAATCTGGTATTCTAAGTTGGAGACTGGTAAAAGAGCAACGCCACTTCCCTTCTCGATTGGTTCTTAGCCAGGCGAAACTAATCTCAGTTAATATCCGAAGTCATTTGAAAGTTACAGCTGCGTTACAAGTACTATTCAATTCTTTTTTCATAAATGTCGCGGACTATTATCCTTCCTTTTTGTGAAACAACTTATAATCGCTCAAATATTAGCCACATGAATTACTAAGGACAAACATTCTCCACTTTAGGGCAAAGAGGCCGCCACCCAAGCGACAAATAAACTTTTATCGTCAACCATAGGGAATTCAAGACAAATCTATATTTTCTTTCAGTTATCTGACACTCTTGTGCTTAGTGCTTTAGGCTTTAAGGAGTATACATTTCCCTCTATAATTTTCCGAAATTCCCTTGGAAGGATTTCCGAGGCAGATTGTTGGAAAATAAAACGAGAGGGTAAAAATCCTGTGCCATGGAATAATAAATTAATTCCGAAAGCTTGCTTGTAGGCTATCAATATTTAATTAACAAACAAAAGTTGTTGGTTTTCAATATTAATTAATTTTCTTACTATTTATTTTTCAACTTAAAGTTGTTTTTTTAACATAAACTCTACGTTGAATTCATTTATCTGCATGTTGCGTTAAAAAATCTCAAGGTCAAAGGAAACTAGTCAAAAACCAACACTTCAAAGTTATCAACGAAATTCAGATAATTTTAAAACCGTAAAAACACTCTCTTCGTTTTTCTGTCTGCAAAATATATATATATATATATATATATATATATATATATATATATATATATATATATTTATGGATAAAAATGACAATAGGAAAACTGGTAATTGCTGACGCGTTTCGTCCAATGTGGACTTTTATCAAAGCAAAATACGAAAAAAAAAAAAAACAAAATTGTCATTTTATTCATAAATATTGTCTTCTACCGATTAAATCGGAGAAATTTTCATATATATATATATATATATATATATATATATATATATATATATATATATATCATTGAATACGGCAGACAAGGTGGTTTTATTTATTTTTTTTATACAATTTCTCATGTGATCTAATAATTTTTTTCTTTTCGGATGATAAATTATATAAAAACTTTCCGAATGTTCTTTTTTTAGCCGAGTACTTTCGGCTTTACTTTTAAAAAAAAAGACCATTCGAACAGTTTTTATATAATTTATCATCCGAAAAGAAAAAAATTATTAGATCGCATGAGAAATTGTATAAAATAATAAATGAAAGCAACTTGTCTGTCGTATTCAATGAAAGAATGAATCCTGTCTAAATACATAAATATATATATGTGTGTGTGTGTGTGTGTGTGTGTGTGTGTGTGTGTAGAGTGAGCGGTCAAAGTTAAATGCAGATAAATGGTAGAACTGCCCAACAAACAGAATTCGTAATAAGCAATAACAAGAAAAAAAGAAACATGACAAAAATAATATAAAGCAGCAAAACAATATATACAAGGCAAATTAACAGTAATAAGGCAAAGCAACAGTAATATGGCAAAAAGCTCACAAACTAAGAATTGGGGTTGACACACAAGAGCAAATTCGGACAAGTGAACGTGGCGTTCTGACATCAAGACAAGACAGATCTGGACTGAATCAAATGAAACAGAGAACCGGCTTATTTTATTGGTTAGGAAGAAATCCCAGTATGCATTCGTGTGCCTCTGTCTATAAATTGGGGAAGGTAAAGTGTTTTGCAACCATTCCTACTGAGATTGGAAGCAACAAGTTAATATTTTTATACCTGAATAAATATAAATTTAAGATGATTTGAGAAATATGCTTTAACGATTGCCTAGTTTCATGGACGATTCAGTATTTTAAAATCTTTTCCTTGTTTCTGCTTCAGGTTAAAAGGCAAACATCTTGTAGGGATACAGAAGGCGATTATCTCCTTTTGGTCGAGATGAAGATACTGACAGCCACCTAGTGACGTCACTGCATAGTGACGAAAGTGTCAGTCAGTCAGCAAAAAAGCTTCCAGGAGTCAAATCGAGCAGTTGCTTTTTATAATCCGGGCCCTCGGTGAAGCTTGCCAGCCTATGGCGTCGTTTTCCTATGGAAATCTATCTTTAGCAGATATAGAATATCCGGCTCACAGTCCTCATGTCGACGACTCGTCAAAAATGCAGCTCTCTTATCCCAAAAGTAGACAGAATTCCAGTCTCTTATGCCAAAAGTGGATAGAATTTCCATCGCTAATCCAAAAAGTAAACAAAATTCCAGTCTCTTCTCTGAAAAGTGGAAAAAATTCTAATCTCTTTCCCAAAAGTTGACAAAATGTCTGTTTATCACTAAAGTAGACAAAATTTCAGTCCCTTATCTCAAAAGTAGACAAAATTCCTGTCTCTTATTCCAAAAGTAGACAGAATTCCTGTCTCTTATTCCAAAAGTAGACAGAATTTCAGTTTCTTATCCTAAAAGTAGCCAGAATTTCAGTCTCTTATGCCGAAAGTGGAAAAAATTTCCGTCTCTTATCCCAAAAGTGTACAAAATGTCCAGTCTCTTATCACAATAGACAAAATTTCAGTCTCATAAATAAATTGAAAATTCAAGGAACTTTTAATTCAAATTTTAATGTCAAATTTAGACTTTCTTTACATGAAGTCGGATCTTACAGTATACTAGGTCTCCCTAACTATGAAATATACTGAATATGTAACCGTTTATTTAAAAACGTTTTACGGCTTAATCTATCTTAGTATACGATTTCCGTGGTTTGTTTACATTTTAGGGAAAACTTTAAAAAAACACTCTTCTTAAAACTTCCTCTGTGTTTTTTCTATAAATACTTTCTTTGTAATTGTTCGGGTGTACGCTTCGCTATGGTACCTAGACTTTTTGAATTTAAGCGCAGTACTTGATTGGCGACGAGATCTCATCAATTTAGAGTGGAGATGGCTGGATGTAGCCGTAAGTTTTCTTTGTATTTATTCGACAATCCCCCCCCACAAGGTGTGACACAAGCTCAGTTTAATGTGGGGAGTCCGAGCGAGTACACACGGATTAGGAACAAAAATTGCCCGAACCCCCGCAACTGTCGGTTGCGCTGGCTTCAGTGCGAGCACCGATCTCCTCTCTCTCTCTCTCTCTCTCTCTCTCTCTCTCTCTCTCTCTGATGCAATGACAGGGTGTGGTCTCGAGCAGCTGTCCCCCAGGGTGGACACCTCTCAGTATAATTTTCTTCGGTTTCGACTCTGTCCTTTGA